AGGGGGCTTGGCCGCCTCATATGTGGTTTTGATGTTGTACACTGGGCACGGCCTTCACCCAGAGTTATAAGAGAAGGTCTCACTGAACAGGTAATGTCTGCACCGAGACCTAAAGAAATGGAAGAACCAGAGGAGAGAATTCTAGGCTGATGGAAGAACAAATACAAAGGCCTTGATACAGGAAAAAGTTTGACTTGTCTGAAGAAGAGAAAGGAAGCCAGAGTGCCAGACTGCACAGAGTCCAGGGAGTTACACTGGTGGAAATTGTAGAGAGATGCAGGAACCAGATCACATAGGACCTCAGAGGTCATGGGCAAGAGTTTGCATCTCATCCTAAGAGCAATAGTAGCCATTAAAGAGTTTTTGACATATAAGAATAACATTTATTGGGTGTCGGGCAGGTGGGAGGGGGGAGGAGGGGACGGGTATATGCATACATAATGAGTGCAATGTACACCATCTGGGGGATGGACACGCTTGAAGCTCTGACTTGGCGGGGGAGGGGGAGCAAGGGCAACATACGTAACCTAAACATCTGTACCCCCGTGATATGCTGAAATAAAAAAAATAATAATAAAAAGTTTTTGAGAGTTTCATGACCTTTTTATCAGATCATTCAGGCTAATATGTAGAAAATCTGTTGTTCAGAGTATAAGAGTGAAAAATGAATGAGACTAGTTAGGAGGTTATTGCAGGAGTCCAGCCAGGAAATGATTATTGTAATGTTATAGTATGGATTGATATCTGGGTAGAGCAAATTCCCTTTTTTCCCCCAAAATATTCTTAGCTCATCTTTTCATCTATTCTTCCATATAAGCTTCAAAATCCAGATTCTCTAGAACTTTAGAATAAAAAATGATTTCCATTGGGATTGCCCTGACTTATAGATTAATTTGAGACATGAAAGTTTTACAGAAATTATGCTTCTCATTCATGAACATGTTTTCTCTTATCATTTATTCAATAGTTCTTCTTTTATGTTCTTCAGTGAAAGGGTGTGTGTGTCTGCATGCACACATGTGTACACTATAGATGTCCATTTCCAACTGATTTTTGGGGTATACTATTGATTTTCTATGTTGATCTTCATCTGGCCATTAAATTATCTACAGCTCTTCCTGCCCCCACCTCGGGCTTCAGTAGAAACCTTTTGTTTCAGGAACCAGTACCTTCTAGAGGTGGACTCTATTTCACCCAGAAGCAGTGGGCCAGCCTGATGCCCACTCAAAAGACCCTGTTCAGACACAGGACTGTAGCTTCTCTAGGTAAGGCCCTCTTTCCTCTAGGACTCAGCCTCTGTACTTTGGAGCTTACTGGCTTCTTTCCTCTTACAGGCTGAGATATCTCTTGTAAGCTCATTTTCAGAACTCCATGGCTGAGTTTCCAATTCACCAACCTCAGGGACTACTGGTTGAGGAGAGCCCTAGGTTCTCTGTAGTATTAAAAAGATGTCCCCAATACCCTAATAGAGGCTTTGCTTTGGGCAGAATGGGAAATGAAAAGTTTGCTGATACCCTAACTGAGCACTCTGTTCCTACACCATCTCTCCCTGTTTTCCCGAGATCTTAGTCCCCTACCATGTAGGTGGGATGCTGCCACTATTTCAGTGCACACTCAGATTGGGCCAGATATATTACATTTCTTCCTGAGTAAGATAGCTGGGCTCCTTCCTTAGAGGGTTCCACTTTCCTTGAGTCCCACTTCACTTGTTCTTCTGGGTGTTCCACTTCCCTTTCCACCTACTAAAAGCAGAGGATGGGCTGAAAGGAGTTCAAGAATAAACTGCCTGATTCCTCACATTTTCCTGTCCTCTTCTTTCTCCTTTGACAGCATTTCGTTCCCTAAACCAGTTATGACATCCCTGCTGGAGGGAGAGGAAATACCATGGGGCTCAGGTCCCTCAGCTCTGCTTGGCAGAGGGTCCCTGAGCGGTGTCTGTATAGGTGAGTGTGAGAACCTGTGAGCTTCCTTTCTTACTTTGCCTCTTCCTTTGTTTTCATAATTCATCATGTAAAAGGTTTTTATTCTCTCATATGGCTGCTGTGGGGGATGAAAATGGTTATTATTACACAGGCAGGTATTGCAGACCTCCCCCCACACACCTTTTTTCTACTTAATGGGATAAATTAATTTTCTACTATCTTCAATACAAAGATGTATTTTAATTACAATTAGAGGCTTCTATGAGCTAGCCTGGAAACACACATGTCATTTTCATTTATTGTTTCTGCGAGAAAATATAAAGTTGTTTCTAAGCATTGACCTAAAAATAAACTTTTTGAGGAATTTGTGATTGTAACTGAGATGGAAACTGCTTTCTTCATTTGAAAGAAATTAATTGAACAAGATAAAAAAAGAATATATTTTGACCTTTCTTACTCTTCTCAGCCTGTTCCAATTTCTCAAGCTATACAGAATACTTTTATAGCATACCTCCTTCTAATTTAGCCCTGCCTTTACCTTGAAGCAGTACCTGCCCAGTAATGACCCCACTCCAGGATTTAAGACCATTTTGGTAATAAAACTTTCCAGCAGTCTTTATGCATCTACTCTGAACTCTTTGCTACAGCTACAGGTTGTCTGATTAGTCCACTAATAGCCTTCATTAATGAAAAGAATGGCTTTTTAAAATTGTAGATTAATTAAAAATATTCCTTATATAGCCAGTAGCTTTCTAATCTAGTTTCTATATCAGCTAACTTTCTGATGGACATTATCTGTTATCCTAGACTATTCCATGGGTAATATTTGAACATAGAACCTTCTGGAAGTAAGAGTCATGGTTTGGGTGTTGGAATCCTCTATGCCCCAGTCTGCTTCTCAACCTGCTGGACCTGGTATGGTGCTGCGGCTGCTTCCTCAGCTCTCTCCTCCAGCCCCAGTGAGCTCTTTCTTCACCCTAGAGTCATTTCTTGTTTCTTCCATGCCCTTCCTGCTGCCTGTCCCTCTTCTCACTCTCTCTTCTCTTTAACCTCTTTCCCATTTTGATGGGACCTGTTCCATCTCCCTCTACACTCTTCACTGTCATTGCCCTGCTTGTGGAAACAAACAGCTCCTGTTTTGACTGGTCTGGTTCGATACCGGCACCTTCAGTTTTCTGTGGATAGGAGCCCGTTATGTTGCTCTCCTTGTTCCTCTGGCCCTTATGCAGCCATTTTATAGTCTGTTGGGAAGAAACCATATACTAAGAAAGTAAGCTAGTAACACTTGATCAACTTTCCCCACTAGTCCAGCTAATGATTGAAATCTGTCTTTTCTTTTGTTATGTCACCAGATAAGGCCAGAACTGTCATTAAGGAACTAACTCCATAGCAACCAATTTTTGAAAAAATGGAATTGCACAGAGGGATGTCAGGACAGCTGGCAGTGGATGCAGTCCAGCACCCTGAACTTGAGTGCAGCTTAGAGTGGCAGCAGAGAATGGGGACGAAAACCAAGACAAAGAAAAGAGGTTTTATAGATGTATCAGTCAAGGAACTTAGCTCCTCCACTGTTGAAGAACGGGAGGAGTATAAGAAATTAGGAAAAATCATTAGTGACAGCATGCATCTTGTTGCAAATCTGAGAGTTCATACAGAACAGATGTTTAATGAATGGGGTGCGTGTGGCACATGTTTCATTCTAAGGTCAGTCCTTTACCAACATTGGAAAATTCACACTAGAAGAAAGCCATACAATTATAAAGAATGCGGAAAAGCCTTTATATACAACTGAGAACTTGCATAGCACCAGATAACCCACATGGGGAGAAACCATACTCATGTAAGAAGTGGACAAGTTTTCAGTCAAAACCCCCACCTTCTTCAGTGTCAGAAAACTTGATGGTGGAGGGCAGCTGTATGAACGGACAGAGTGTGGAAAAAACATAAGTTCCAAAGTTGCCTTGACTCAGCCTCCAAGAAAAACGTCTTGGGTTAGGGTGGAGACACTTGCTTGGATTACAAATATGTAATGAGGGCAAATCATGCCGGTTATTAAATTGACAGGGCTAGCTCTGTAGTGGGATGCCCTGACAAGTCTTTGAGGATGGGGTGGTTTTGAAGACTGGCAGAGGCAGAGCCTGGAGAGTATTTATCCCAAGGTATGAGAAGTGTAATCTAATACCAAGGCCTCCGTATTCACAGGACAGGCCACTGACTGGATCATTGACTGACATCTGTCTCCAGGCTGGGCCTGAACACACATCTGGGTATAGGGTAAGAAAGGGCTTTAAGGCCAAATGTTAACAGCTCTTTCCCTAAACACTGCCACATGTTGGAGCCCCAGCAGCACCTGTTTTGTTTCTTCAAAAGCACGTAACACAATTAGAAAACAAAACAAAACAAACTCACATGCACTTCTTATGTGCCAGGCACTACTGTAAATACTTAACCAATCCATTGACTCATTTAATGAATTAACCCAGAACAGCCTTTTGAGGTTGGTACCACCATCACATCCATTTAACAGACAGGCAAAGAAACTTGCTGCAGGTCACACAACTATCAAGTTATCCTACTGACAGGTTTAGCTATGAGGTGCCGGGACAAGTCTTCGAGCATGGGATGGTTTTGAAGACTGGCGGAGGAGTGCTGCTAGGTTTCTGGACGTAGGTAGTCGATACACATTTGGACATTTGGCCTTTTGAGTGCTGGGCCCGACTTTGCACACGCCCACTCTTCCCACTGCAGCGCAGCCACGGAACCCAGGCAGCTTGGACACGTGTGGCGCAGTGGACCCCTCAGTACCTGGAAAGGCAGCCAGAGCGACAGGCGCCAGAGAACTCGGGACTGTAACCGTTCTGTGGCCTGAGCTGGCCTGACGTCATCCCCCGAGGGAGCTGCAGGACCCCAGCCTGGGGAGTGGCCCGTACCGTCGCTAGGCATAGGGACACTGGCGGTTGCGGGGGATTGGAGCGGGGGAGAGGTGGTGGGTGGGTAGGGAATCACAGAGACGAGCAACTTCCCAGGTTCCTAGAGAGGAAGGGAATGGTAAAACGCACTTCCGGCTGAACGCGGCCAAAGCTTTTCCCAGAGCCGGCGGCAGGTGGTTGTTCCCACGCTTTCTCTGCGCCTGAGCCGCGCGGCGTTAGCGGCGGCCGCGGAAGGAGTTCGGACGCCGGGTAACCGATTCGCTTCCCCCGGGCGTGTTCTTTCGGGTTCTCCAACCCCTGTACTTTTGGAGTGAGGGGTGGCGGGACGGAGAGGGACCCAGGTCGGGCAGAGGGCATTTGCGGGTGCGAGGCAGCAAGAGTCCGTCTCACTGTGCCTCTTATTTTCTTTCTCTTCAGTCGCACTTCTCCGAACCCCGAGGGAGTGTGAGGAGCGGGGCCGCCAGCCATGCTCCAGACCCCTTGGCGCCAGGTGAGCGGGCATCCTCTCGGCCTCTGTTGTCTCCCTTTCCGACCCTCCACCCTCTGCGTTCAGATCTTGAGTTGTGTAGGCCTGTGGCCTCCCTTGTGCGTCCGTCACTATGAGGGGGGCGGAGAGATGAGAGTGCCCCAACTAAGACACGATTGGGATGGGGAAAACTAGTGAGCGTGGGCGGGTTGACGGGGACAGATTTGGCAATTGGAGCCAGCCAAAAACAATTCTGAAATGTGGAGATGTACATCACTGCATACAATGAAGACCCCTTTCACCCCCATCCACAAGGTTGGAGAAGGCTCTACTTGGATAAAGCAAGTCTAGTTATTATTTTGTAGAATTCATTGGATTTTCTACATAGACAGGTTATCTATGAGTAAGACAGTTTTACGTCTTTCTTTCCAGTCTAGATGCTTTTTATTTATTTATTTATTTTTTCTTGCCTCATTGCACTGGCCAGATCCTTCATTTCAATATAGAATAGGTGAGAGCAGATATCCTTGTCTTATTCATGACCATAGGGTGAAAGCATTCAGTCTTTAACTGTTAAGTCTGATACTCACTGTAGACTTTTTTTTGCAAATGCCTTTTATCAGATGAAGGAAGTTCTATTCCTACTATTCCTAGTTTGCTATAGTTTTTAAGAGGAATGGATGTTGGATTTTGACAAATGCTTCTTCTGTCTATTTAGAGGATCATATGATTTTTTTTTAGTTTTTTAATATGGTGAATTACATTGTTTTTTTTTTTTTTCAAATATTAAACCATTTCTCCATTCCTGGGATCAAACTGGCTTGGTCATGATGTGTTATTCTTTTATGATACATTGAATTAAATTGTTTACAATTTCGTCTATAATTTTTACATTTGTGTTCCTAAGAGACATTGATCTGCAGTTTTCTTTTATTGCAATGTCTTTGTCCCATAACAAGAAGTATTCCTTCCTTTTTAATGTTTTGGAAGAATTTATGTAGAATTGGTTACATTTCTTCCTTAAATGTTTAGTAGAATTCACCAGTGGAGTTTTCTTTCTGATAAGAACTTTAAATACAGCTTCAATTCCTTTGGTAGGAGATAGGGGCTACTCGGGTTATCTGTTTCTTTTTATTTTTTGAGATGAGGTCTATGTTGCTCCTGCCGACTTTGAGCTCCTGGGTTCAAGCAATCTTCCCCCTTCAGCCTTCTGAGTAGCTGGGACTATCGGCATGTGTGACTATGCCCATCTTGAGGAAGTTTTGGTAATTTGTGTCTTTCAGGGAATTTATCCATTTTATCTAAGTTTGTGGAAATTATTGACGTAAAGTTCACAATATTTCCTTATCTTTTTATTGTCTGCAGTGATTCTTTTATTACTAATAGTGGTGATTTGTACATTCTTTCTAGTCCATATGGCTAGAAGTTTATAAATTTTATTGATCTTCTCAAAGAACCAACTTTTAGTTTCATTAAGTCTCTCAGTTTTTCTGTTTTCTGGGTCATTAGTTTTCACTTTGATCTTTATTTCCTTTGTTCTGCTTACTTTGTGTTAAATTTGTTATTCTTTTTCTAGTTCTAAGGTGAAGCTGAGGTCACAGATTTGGGATCTTTCTTCTTTTTTTGTTTCGTAAAATAGGCATTTAATGCTATAAATTTCCCCCTAAGTACTGCTTTAGCATTATCCCTCAAATTCTGGTACAGTGTGTTTTCATTTTCATTCAGTTTAAATACTTTCTACATTCTCTTATGTTTTCTTCTTTGATCTATGTGTTATTTGGAAACTAAATAACACACTTCTAAATATTTGGGAATTTTCCAGGGGTCTTTCTGTTATATCAAATTTTATTCCATTATAGTCAGAGAACACACTGTATGGCTTGAATCATTTTGATTTTATGGAGACTTCTTTTATGGCCCACTATATGGTCTATCTTGGTAATTTTTCCTTATATATCTGAGAAGAATGTGTATTCTGCTTTCATGGGGTGGAATGTTTTGTAAATATCCATTAGGTCAAGTTGGTTAATACTATTGTTCAAGTCTGCTATATCCTTGTTGAGAGAAGGTATTAAAATTTTAAACTATAATTATGGATTTGTCTATTTCTCCTTGAAGTTTTATCTTCACATATTTGAAGTTTTTGCTTCACATATTTGAAGCTCTGTTATTAAGTGCATATACGTGTAGGATTGTTATGGTAAACTGATCCGTTTATGGTTAGGAATGACTTTCTTTATCTCTTAATATTCTTTGCTCAGAAATCTGCATTGTCTTACATTAATTTAGCCATTCTAGTTTTCTTCTGACTAAAGTTGGCATGGTGTATTTTTTTCTGTCTTTTTGCTTTTAATTAATCCCTGTCTTTAAAGTACATTTCTTGAAGAAAGCTTATAGTAGGTTCTTACCTTTTTTTAATCCAATCTGACAATGTTTGCCTTTTGGGATGTTTAGATTATTTATATTTGATGTGATTATTGATATGGCTAGATTTGGAAACATCTATTTGTTTTCTAACTGTCCCATCCATTCTTTGTTCCTTTTTTTCCTCTTTTTCCATCTTCTCTAGGATTAATGGTGTATTTTTTGTGATTCCATTTTTTTTCTCTTTTGTTGGCTATATATAAATTGTAACTGTTTATCTTATTATTTTAGAGGTTGCTTTAGGGTTTGTGGTATACAGTATACATCTTTAACTTATCACATTCCACCAAGTAATATTATACTACTTCATAAATGGTATGAAACCTTAAAATAGTATAATTCCATTTCTCCCCTTAAGGTATTTATGTTAGTGTCATGCATTTTACTATTATACATTTTATGAGTCCCACATTACATTGTTTTTAATCAATTACTTTTTGTAGCAATTTACAAAATAATAAAAAATATTCCTACATAATTACCATTTCTGGTACTGTTCATTCCTCTATGTGTATTCATGTTTTTATCTAGTATCATTTTCTTTCTGTTGTAAGGCCTACTTGTAGTTGGGTCTGCTAGTGATAAATTCTTTCTGTTTCTGTATGTCTGAAAACATCTTATTTTGCCTTTGTTTTTGAAAGGTACTTTTGCTACATAAAGAATTCTAGGTTGAATTTTATGTTTTTTTTTTCTTTTTGTATTTTAAACATGTTATACCACGTTTCATTTCCATTGTTTCTGGTGAGAAATCTGGAGTCATCTTTGCCCTTGCTCACTGTATAGGATGTCTTTCTTCCCTCTGGCTTCTTAAAAAGATACACTCTTTATCACTGGTTTTGATAAATTTGATTATGATTTGCCTTAGTATACTTTTCTTCTATTATAGTTTCTTGTGCTTTGGGTTTGGTGAACTTCTTCAATCTGTGGTTTTATAGTTTCCATCAAGTTTAGAATATTTTCAGCCATTATTTCTTCAATTTTTTTTTTGTCCTTCCCTGCCCTCTCTGCCTTCTTCAAGGACTTCGATTGCCTGAATATTAGGCTTTTTGAAGTTCTCTCACAACTCACTGATGCTCTGTTCTTTTGCCTGCAGTCCTTTTTCTCTCTGTGTTTCATTTTGACAATTTTTTATTGCTATGCCTTCATTTTCCTAATCTTTTTTTCTTCAGAGTCTAGTTTGCTGTTAATCCATGAAGTGTATTTTTTTCCCAATATAGTAGTTTTCATAGCTAGAAGTTTGATTTGCGTCTTTTAAAAAAAATATGTCTCTTTTTGTCTCTAACTTTTGAATTTATAATAACTGTTTCAATGCTTTCTACTATTCTAACATCTGTCAGTTCTGGGTTGGTTTTAATTGATTGAGTGGTCTCCTCATTATGGGCATGTACTCCTGCCTCTTTGAATGCCTGGCAATTTTTGATTGAATGTTAGACATTGTAAATTTTACCTTGCTGGGTGCTAGATGTCTTTATATTCTCATAAAGTGTTTTCTGGAATAACATTGTTACTTAGAACCAATTTGATCCTTTCTGGGCTTATTTTTTTGGTTTGTTAGTAGGATCTGGAGTAGTGCTCAGCTTAGGGGTAATTATTCTCTACTACCGCTGCAGGATTTCCCTGAGCGATCTCCCCAATGCCTGTGAATTATGAGCTTTTTCAGTGTGGCTAGTGGAAACAGGCACTGTTTCCTGCCTGTGAACACCAGGCGTTTTCCCCTCAGTGTTTTCAAATGACCCTTTCTCTGGCCTTAGGCAGTTTTCTTACACCCATATGCTGATAAGTAGTCTGTTGAATACTCTAAAGGGACCCTCTGCATGTAACTGGGATTCATTCTCTATGTGGCTGTCTCTTCTCTGGCATTCTGTCCTATAAACTTTAGCTGCCTCAGTCTCTTCAGGCTCTACCAAGGAATCTGCCAGGCTCTGTCTCAGTTCCCTCTTCCTGTGTTGCAGCCTGGAAACTCTTTTAAGGTAGTAAGCTTAGGGAATCATAGGGGTCACCTCTTTGTTTCCCATCTCTCTGGGATTGCTGTCCTTCGTTGCCTGATATCTTGAAAATTGTTGTTTAATACAATTTGGTTTACTTCATTTAAGGCAGGAAGGAAAATCCAATCCCTATGACTCCCTATGACTCCACTCCCCAGACCAGAAGTGGAAGTTTTCTTTCAGCCTTTTTAAAAACACATTAGCCTTTTGCCTTTGCTGTTTAATCTGCTGCCATTTCCACTTCCCAGTCTTCGTGTGTGTGTTGTTTTCCTTTCTCTGAAAGTCTTTAAGATCCATTTTGTATTCCTTTTTCTGAGACTTCTCAGGTATGTGGCTTTATGTAGGTATTTTTCATTTATTTTCCTAAGTACCTTGTTGGTCCTCCCTCCTCCATGGTGCTTTTTAATCGATAGTGTATTTTACCCAGTTATAAAAAGCAGTACACACTTAAAAATCCTGAGCTCATCCTTGGTTCTGTGGTGTGACTTGGTCTCCTTTTTCTTTGTTTCCCCTTTTGCCAGCAGTTAAGTCTCATCTTTGTCTGCTTTTCTAATTTAGTTACCATTCATCTTTTTTCTGTCTTCCAAAATTCTGTTAACACCTCTAATCTGCTTTGACTCTTCTTCTCTTGGGCCATCGTGTTACTGTCACTTTAGTGGGGTTTGGAGAGAGAGTGGAGATCAGTACAGAAGTGCTACTGGCTGTGTTTATATGGATGTCCCCTGTGCATGTGCACCTAAAACCACATTGGGGAAAGGAGCCCAGAGGGACACATGGGCACACAGCAGGGCAGAGCGGAGTTGACGCAGAGATCAGCAGGTGAAGGCAGAGCTGTTTGCTGGGGATGATCACAGAGGGATACAGTGACTGTCGGGCTCCCTGTTGGTGAGGGCAGTGCTGGCTGAGGGCTGGCCCTGGGCGGGATGCTGAGTGGCTATTCCTGGCAATACCACTAGACCCAGTAGGTCTCTGCCCCACTACTTAGGCTGTCCTCTGCTCTCACACAAGCTTGAGCAGGAACCTGTTGTTTCAGGAACCAGTGACCTTTGAGGACGTGGCTGTGTACTTCACCCAGAATGAATGGGCTAGTCTGGACCCTGTGCAGAGGGCCCTGTACAGGGAGGTGATGCTGGAGAATTATGCAAATGTGGCTTCCCTGGGTAAGAAGACATCTCTTCTCCTTGCTCTTGTCAGCCTCTGCCCTTTGAGCATCCTGGCTTCTTTCTTCCTTAGAACTTTGTGGGGTCTCTAATAACCCTCAGGGGAAGTTGCCTTGAAGGGTGAGCCCCTCAGAGGTTACTAGGTGTGGCGAGCCCGGTGTTCCCAGGTTTTGAAATCAGCTGTCCCTCCAACCCTGGGAGGTGCTGTACCCCAAAAATGGAGAGATATTAGGAGCTCTTGGAAGCTCAGCAAAGCCGCTTGTGCCTTTGTCTTCCAAGATTTCTGAAGAAGACTTGGGACTCCCTCATGTGAATATGGGATTATTCTGGGACTCTGCTGCCCTTTGGGGGAATTTTTCTGTCATCTAACAGCACAGACTGTTAAGTTTCTCCCTGATTTCACTTTATCCCTCACTGCCTGGCTCAGCAGAGAAAGATAAAGGGGGCTGAGCGGGGACCCCGCTTCATGATTCCCTTTACCTTTTTGTACCTGTTTCTTTCTCCCTGGGCAGCTTTTCCATTCACCATACCTGTTCTGGTCTCCCAGCTGGAGCAAGGAGAACTGCCATGGGGCCTCGATCCCTGGGAACCTGTGGGCAGGGAGGCCCTCAGAGGTGTCTGTCCAGGTGAGCATGGGAACCTATCAGCTGCATATTTTGCTTAGCCTGCTTTCTTGTTTTCACGTTTCAATGTGTTAGAAGCATTACTTCTCTTGGGAGACTTTTCATTCCTATGGAATCATTACATGTGATTCTCTGAGTTCATGGTGGTAGCCTACCTCAAATGCGGAAGGGCCAGTCTCTTCCAAGACAGGCAGGATGGCAAGATTTCTTTGCATGCTCATCTTTCTCTCTCCTCACAACCTGCCAAGGTAGACTGTCTGACTGAGCAGCACTTAAACCAGCTCTTTCCTTCTCTGTCACGTGGAAACATCTTGTTTTTCCACCAGTTTGCTTTTGCAGTCATGAGGATGCCAGCCACTTTATGGGGAAAATGAGCCTCTGGCAGCCTGTCTGGCCTTCTGCATATCATAGAGTACATTAATTCTGTGAAAACAGAATTAGGAGTTTCTAAGCACTGACTTAACACATAATAAAAATTTCATTTTTATAATGGAAAATTTGAAACATATGCAAACACCAGCATAATGCACTCCAAGTATCCCTTACCCGGCCTCAACATACACCAATGTCCTGCCATGCTTGTTTCATCTTTCCCCCACAGACACTTTTAACAGATGAACTTTTAAAGCAAAATTTATTGTAAATTAAAGGTGAATAGCTTCCTCATTTTAACAACTATTAATATGTGCATTAAAAACAAAACACACTATATTTTCTTGTCTTATTCTGCTTCACCCCTTTTCCGCCTGTTAAAATTTCCTGTGCTCTTTAGACTCTTGGCAGAGAATGCCCATTACTGATGCACCCCCTCAGTCTTGTGTTAAAATTGTGCCTTTCTGGATATGACCTCAGGGCTTTAGGCTATCTGGATAAAATATATTTTCTGAACAATTTGCTTATGAACACATGAGGTTCCGCCCTGGCCCAGTGCTGAAGATTTTATTAGTCTGCAAAAGTCCTTAATAGTGGAGGGAAAATAGCTTTTGGTTTTCCTTTATTATGATGTTAGTTTAGTATTTCACATTTCATACTCTTGTGTTAAACAAATGCACGTCCTATATGACCTTTTAGGAAAAATGACAAGAATTGTTACCTGGTCCTCTTTGGCACTTGTGTCTATTCTTGGAAGAGTTCTTCATATTTCCAGTACTCTTTTATTTTAGAGGCAAGCCTCCAAGCCTTCCCCTTTCCTTCTGGATGCTGTGGTGTTTGCCAGGCATGGTCCCTCTGCCACAGCATAGGAGCCTGCTGCTTTACCAGAGCCAGCTTGGTGGTAGAGATCACTTCTCCTTTCAAAGATTGTATGACATGGAGAATGTTTTTTAAAAAGCAGCTGTTAAGGAATTTCAGCCTGGGAGACTTGGTAGTGCTTGAGCTGCTTGACCTGCCCCTTCTCCGGTCTTAGTGGTCTTCCTTCCACCTAAGGGTCTCTCTGGTCGTCACTTGTTTTTGTCTGCACTTTTATCCACACCATTCACTTTTCTCTCAGTTTTTCTGCCCTAGTTAACAGTCTTTGCTGTTTTCCGGTGTTCACACTCTTTATGGAAATGCCTCCTGGCCTTGCTTGTCTGCCTCTCATAGAGTGTTCATGTCACTCGTGGGGCTCTGTTATGCGGTGATCTTAGGTAGCCATTTGGTGGGGATATTAGAAAATATCCATATACTCAGGTCATGTTAGAATCACTTGATCCTGTTTCCCCTTTAGCACAGGTATTTTCTTTTTGTCATATCAGGGGCTGACACTTGTATTTTCTCTTTGTGATATCAGGGGATCAGACCAGAACCAAGAAGGAAGGATTAGCTTCAAAGGAACACACGTCCAAAGAAACTGAGTCCCTCAGACTGACATTGGGAGGAGGGCCAGGGAATGTTCCCCAGTACTTTGACTTTGGGAGCAGCCTAGAGCAGCCCCAGGGCCATTGGATAATTAAGACAAAGCCAAAGAGGAGAGAGTTCACAGATGGATCAATCAGGTATGGTGAGGCCTGTGCTGTCAAGATTGGAGAGAAGTGTGAGAAGTTAGGGAAAACTGTTAGTGTTGGCACACAACTCACTATGAATCAAACAATTCCTAGTGGTCAGATATCTTATGAATGTGGAAAATGTGACAGATATTTCAGTCGAATGGCAGACTTCCACCGACATCAGAAATGTCACACTTGTGAAAAGTCTTTCGAATGCAAAGAATGTGGAAAAGACTTCAGATATAACTCATTACTTATTCGGCATCAGATAATTCACACTGGAAAGAAACCATTTAAATGTAAAGAATGTGGAAAAGGTTTAAGTTCAGACACAGCTTTGATTCAGCATCAGAGAATCCACACTGGAGAAAAGCCCTATGAATGTAAGGAGTGTGGCAAGGCCTTCAGCAGCAGCTCGGTCTTCCTCCAGCACCAGAGGTTCCACACTGGGGAGAAACTCTATGAATGCAATGAATGTTGGAAAACTTTCAGTTGTAGCTCAAGCTTCATTGTCCATCAGCGAATGCACACTGGGGAGAAACCCTACGAATGTAAAGAGTGTGGGAAACGATTAAGCTCCAACACAGCCTTGACTCAGCATCAGCGAATTCACACTGGGGAGAAGCCCTTTGAATGTAAGGAGTGTGGGAAGGCATTCAATCAGAAAATAACCCTGGTTCAGCATGAGCGCGTTCACACTGGTGAGAAACCTTATGAGTGTAAGGTGTGTGGGAAAACCTTCAGCTGGTGTGGAAGATTCATTCTGCATCAGAAACTACACACACAGAAGGCACCTGTCCAAGCATAGCGCTCTTCACAGTTTGGCTCACTGTGCCTCCGCATGTTTCTATTTTCATGCTCTTTATCAGTGTTCTCACTGTCTTTCCTGGACTGTGCTGATTCTTAACCATGTCTTTGTTCACACGACTCTGCATATTTGGAATGCCCACTCTTCCACCTGTCCAGTCATATGTTTAATTCAGACTCTTGGCTTCCATCATGAAATGGTCCTCAAATTCTCTAAGCCCTTGTCTCCCCAATATGAACTCTCTTTACAGTTAGAAAAGACAAAAAAACTAAAAAACCAACTCCCAAATTTACAAATGTAAAAGGAAATGTAAGTTTCCAGATTTAAAGGATATGCAAGATGGATTGGGGGGAAACCTACGTTAAAGAATATCACTGTGAATTATGAAAACACCAAGTTTGAAGAAGAGATCCTAAAAAATTTCTAGAGAGAAAAAACAAAAGATCAGAAATGAGAATGGCATTAGATTTCTCAACAGCAACCTTAAAGTTAGATGACAATGGTGTATTCCTTCAAAATTCTAGTGGAAAATGATTTTCCCCTAGAATTCTATGCCCTCGAGTGTAAGTAAAGAATAAAGGCATTTCATACCCTTTAGGTTTCAAACCTTCATCTCCCATGTATCCTTTCTCAGATGTGCAACACTAAACAAGGGATAAACCAGGAAATGAAAAGACAGATATGTGGACCCCCTATTACAATCTGTATATCAGAAGTCTCTTAAATTCAAAAACAGAAGGGCCCAGTCCATGTGGAGCCATATGCATATTGGAGGACATCCCTACTAGGGTGCAGACTTCAGAGACCTACCTCGGGTGCAGTGTTCACTCACCCTACTTATTCTGCAGTTAGCCTTCACTACTCAATTGCAGTCCATGCCTTTGCAAAAGTCAGGGTGTATATACCCTTTGAGTCAAATGCAAGGCGCTATTTGTCTTAAATTTATTCATCTCATTGCTGTTCCAAGTGACCTCAAAGGAGGAAACGTTTTCTTGCAACTCCATCTAGTTATTTTTTATGATCATGGGAGAACCTACCATTATTTCTGTTACCTAAGGAAATGAAGGAGGATATAAATGTGTTCTGTTTTAGCATCCACTTTTGCAGGCAGCTTGATTTTGCCCATTGCAGGAAGCAGAGGGTAGTGGTTAATAATATAGAGCCAGGCAGACTTTGAACCCAGGTGTGTGACCTTGGTAAGTTACAGAAACTCTGTGTATTAATTTCCTTGTCTGTGAAATGGGGATGACAGTCAGTCTACCTCATAGGTTTGTGCTGAGGCTTAAATGCATTAATATATGAAGAAGTGCTTCAGATAGTGACTGGTGCATAATAAAGTGTGACCTATAATTATAATGCTATTGATAAGTTTTGACTTACAATACACCAGTGAAACAATCACCACAATCCAGATATAAACAGCCATTACCCCCAGAATTTGCTTCTGCCCCTCTGTAATCCCTTCCAACTAGCCCTCCACAGACAGCCACTCATCTGCTTTCTGTCATTTTGGATTAGTTTTCCTTTATTTTTTGGTGTGATGTCTTTCACTCAGGGTAATTACTTGGAGATTCACCCATGTTGTTGCATATATCAATAGTTCATTCCTTGTTATTGCTGAGTAGTATTCTACTGTATTGGTATTTCCACAATTTGTTTATTCATTGACCTGTTGATGGCCATGTGAGTTGTTTATAGTTTTTGGCTATTATAAATAAAGCTGCTATGAACATTTGTGACCAAGTCTTTGTAAGAATATATGTTTTCACTTGTCTTGGATAGACACCCGGAGTGGAATGGCTAGTTCTTTAGGCAGGTAGGTATATATTTAACTTTTTAAGAATCTTCAAAACTGTTCTACAAAAAAGATTGTGCCATTGTATGTTTCCACCAGCATTGTATGAGAGTTTCACTTCTAATATATCTTTGTCTACACTTGATATTGTCAATTTAAAAAATTTTAGCTATTCCAGTTGTTTAATACTAACCCGTTGTGGTTTGAATTTGCGTTTCTCTGATGACTAATGATGTTGAGCATATTTTCTTGTGCTTATTTATTTTCCATATATCTTTGATGAAGTGTCTGTTCATACCTTTGGCCTATGTTTTTATTGGGTTGTTTTCTTTTTATTAATATTTGTGAGGTCTTTATATGTTTTAGATGCAGATCTTTTTCAGATATGTGATTTCTAAGTATTTTCTTCTAGCCTGTGGTTTGTGTTTTCATTCTCGTAACAGTGCCTTTTGAGAAGCAGAAGATGTTAGTATTGATGAAGTCCAATTTATCAGTATTTTTTTTGTGGATTATGTTTTCAGTATAATATCTAAGAAATATTTGCCTTACCCAAGTTTACAAAGATTTTTTGCTGTTTTTCCTTCTGGAAGTTTTATAGTTTTAGGTTTTACATTTCATTCTTTACATTCCATTTTGAGTTAATTTTTGTATAGAGTGTGAGGTATAGATCTAAGTTCTGTTCTTTTTTTTTCACATGGACATCGTATTGTAGCACCATGTTGCCCAGGCTGGATGACAGTGGTTATTCACAGGTGTGCTCATAGTGCACTGTAGCCTTGAACTCTTGGACTCAAGTAATCCTACTTCAGCCTCCTGAGTAGCTGGGCCTACAGGCATGATGAGCTCCTGTGCCCAGCTTGTAGCACCATTTTTTGAAAATAATTCATTCTCCACTGAATTGCCTTTGTACCACTGTTGCGAATCAGATGTCCATATATGTGTAGGTCTGTTTCTAGATTCTATACCATTCCATTGATCTGTTTGTCTGTCTTGACGCCATTAAGACACTGACTTAATTACTGTTATTCCCTAATGTGTTGTAGTGATACAGTGTTAGCCCCAACTTTGTTTTTTGTCAAGGTATTTTGGCCATTCTGGGTCCTTTACATTTCCATATGAATTTTAGAATCAGATTTTCAGCTTCTACTAAACACCTCTTGGGATTTTGATTAGGATTGCATTTAATCTATAGATATTTGGTGGAGAATTGATAACCATATAGTTTTTTGACCCATGAGGAAGGGAGGCTGAGAATTAAAAGAACAACTTTTTTAATACTCAGGAAAGGAAAAGACTGTTCTTTACTTGTTTGGGATCTTGGACTTTGGGCAAAGAACAGTCTTTTCCTTTGCTGAATATAAAATATAAATTCTTTTAATTCTCAGCCCCACTTCCTTACCCTTTTTTTATCTTCCCGTAATTAAACTTACTGGAGAGACTGTAAGGAATTGTTCAGATATTTATTTGTGGAGGTATGATTTTTTTTTCTAAGCCCGTGTTACCATTTAAGTTATTTAAGCACCTGTTACTGGGCAGAAAAATAGCTCTAACTATGAATTTTTGTAATTTATTGGAAAAAGCTAAGTACAGGACATTTAGGGTGTCCTGTCAAAGTCAATACAAGACAAAAATCCTTTAATATAGCACATACCCTGTGTATACAGAATGCTGGGCAACCTTAATCACCGTTATTTTGGTTGCTAAATGAATCTGTCCCCAAAGGTCCCACGCACGTCGTAAGTCCTAGGAAGGGAGAGGGCTAAAAGGGCAGGAAACCATGGTTTTCCTGAAGGCTGCCCAGCCCAGAACCCAAGCAGCGTCCTTGGTTTGGGCTTCTTAGAGATGACACACAGGCGCCATTCTCCCACACCTGCACAGCCTCAAGTGACCAGCGGAGTTAAGGCGGCCGGCAGCTGAGGGGCTGTGCGTTAACTGGGATCCCACCTGTGCCTAGAGGCCGAGGTCTGGGTAGAGCCAGGCTGCACCAGTGCTGTGCCTCCCCAGCCCGAAGTTGTACCAACGGCTGTCGCAGGAGGCAGCACGAGCTGAGAAAGCGCCGCAACCCAAAGGCCGCCGTAGCAGCCCGCCGCTTCCGCCCGGTGGGGCGAGTCACGTGGGACCGGGCCGCGGGGACCACCGAGATGGGCGGCCTCCGGGGGGCCTAGAGGGACCCTGGTCGCGCGCCCGCCCTTCCGGATCGGCGGTAGTTACCCAGCTTCCCGGTGTTCGGAGAGGAAGAGCGTGGGTATTAGCGAGTTCTGTGTGCTAGGTCCGACCGGTGCTGGGTTCCTCGCCGTACCTGGCGGCTAGTCAGCCCCCCTTCCCCTGAACTTTATCCTAATGGCGGCCCGCCCCTTCCTCGCCCGGAGCTCGGGAATCTGGGCCTCGCCGAAGCCGCCCGAGGTGGCTGCGCGGCCTTCTAGAGCCCAGGTCCAGCCCCTTGCCACCGCGGCGTGATCTTCTTTTCTGCCCTAAAGAACTTGTTGCGACAGTCTCCTGCGCCCGGTACTGACGTTTCTGATGTTTGGGGTCTCCCGCTTTCCTGGGTGCAGTGTTTGTTAAGACTCCTTTTGGGTTGAGTCTCTGGTCGGCGTCACCCACTGAGACACTGAATATTTTACTCTCAGTACGCATTCAGCTACTTCTGTTCCTCCTCTCCAGAGACACTTATTTTGGGGTCAATGCTATGGTCCCTGTAAGCATTCTGTAAAAACTCTTCCCATTTGTACAGACCCAACACCGTAAGGACAGGGTACTTTTATCCCTCAGTCTCCTCTGTTTGAACGTGGTCAGAATGTCCTTGGGGCTGAGCAGGCAGAACAATTACAAAGGACACTGGGGGAGCTGTCAGTGTAAGAACAGCCAGGGGGTGCCTAAGGAGTCTCCGTCCAGTGCAGGAAATGTGGACACTGGGAGGTTGCTGTGGGTGATGTAGGGCAAGGTCCATAGCACTCATGGCTCTTCTTCTGTTATCTCCTAAGGATCTTGCTTTTCCAAACCCAGAAGCCAGTGCATGAAGCCAGGGGACATCAGCCATGCTCCGAACAACTTGGCCTCAGGTGAGCTGAGCTTCCTTTCAGTCTTTTTTTTACTTGCATTGGCTAATAGGAAAGGCCGAAGGAGGCCTAACTTGACCAGGCTGTGGTTTCTCTTTTGAGTCTGACCCTACGGTTATGGCTGATGTAAGTATATGGTAGGGGAAACAAAAGTTTTGTGTTTGGAGAGTGGTGGCCTTGGATGTGTAGATTTAAGTGGAAGAAAGAGAGCCCAAGCCAAGAAAGGCTTCCTGATTGTGGAAATCCAGATCATGTTCTAAAAATGAAAGTCACCTGCTGAAATCAGAGAACTTCGTCATTGAAGAGATTGTCCTGTAAATTGTGGATGTATCCCAGCGAGACCAACATTGTTCTTTCAATATATATTTTCTAAATGCTAGATGCAAAAGCCCTGAAGTGAGGGAGAAAGCTGGGTATACTCTAGAAACAGGAAGAGGTCAGAGAAAGTGGTTCAGTATGAGGTGGGAGAAGTAAGCACAGGTATTGTAGGTCATGGTGAAGACTTTGGTTTCTGTTCTAGTTCAGTGGGAAGGCACTGAAAAATTTTAAGCAGGGGGTGACGTGACTGGATTTATGTTAATATATTAAAAAGATTTTTCCAGCCTGGGAAATTGTTATGGAAGGGAGTGAGTCAATTAAGAGAATATTGCAGTCCAGGTAAGATATTAAATATTCTTTTATTTATTTATTTTTAATAGTCTTTATTTTTTAGAACAGTTTTAGGTACAAAGCAAAATTGAGTGGAAGGTACAGAGATTTCTCATATACTCCCTGCCCCTACATACTCATTTACAAATTCTGATACAAGTTCAGATACAAGTACTGGTATCAACACTATGCCAGTGTCTTTAAAAGAATGGAGATGCTTTCCTTCTTTCCATATTCTTTGATATGTCCTAAATAGCACATGAGGTTTGATTTTTTGAAAATAACTCACCCCTGAAACAATTTAAAACTGGCACTTTTTAAAAAATAGATTTTATTTTTAGAGCAATTTTAGCTTCATAGCAAAATTGGGCAGAAAGCACAAAGAGTTCCTTCCCATATACCTCCTGCCATCACACAATGCATGGCCTCCCCCACTGTGAAGATCCTGCACTATTGTGGTACATTTATTACAAGGAATGAACCTATGTTGACATGTCATCATCATCCAAAGTCCATAGTTTACATTAGGGTTCTCTCTTGGTGTTGTCCATTCTACGGGTTTGGACAAATGTGTAATGACGTGTATCCGCCATTATAGTACCATACAGAATAGTTTCACTGCCCTAAAAATCCTTGTGCTCCTCCTATTCATCCCTCTCTCCCTCCCCCTTAACTCCTGACAACCATAGCTTGATTTTTTTACTCTCTCCATAGTTGCCTTTACCAGAATGCCATAATAACTGGAATCACACAGTGTGTAGCCTTTTCAGATTGGCTTCTTTTGGTTATATGCATTTAAGTTTCCTTCATGTCTTTTCATGGTTTGATAGCTCATTTTGTTTTAGCACTGAATAACATTCCATTACTACGTGGATGTACCACAGTTTATCCATTCTGTCCATACTGAAGGACATCTTGGTTACTTCCAAGTTTTGGCACTGAACTGCTATAAATGTCCATGTGCAGGTTTTTGGGCAGACAAAAGTTTTCAGTTCCTTTGGTTAAATACCAAAGAGCGTGATTGCTGGATTGTATGGTAAGAGTACGTTTAGTTTTGTAAGAAATTGCCCCAAACTGTCTTTCAAAGTGGCTGTACCATTTTGTCTTCCTGCCAGCAATGAATGAGAGTTCCTATTGCTCCACATCCTTGCTCACATTTGATGTTGTCAGTGTTTTGGATTTTGGCCATTCTAATAAGTGTGTAGTGGTAGCTGGTTGTTTTTATTTGCAATTCCCTATGACATAGAATCTTGAGCATCTTTTCATATGCCTATTTGCCGTCTGTATATTCTTTGTTGAGGTGTCTGTTCAGGTCTTTTGCTCATTTTTTAATTGGGTTGTTTGTAGAGTTCTTTGTATATTTTGGATAACAGCTCTTTATCAGATATGTCTCTAGCAAATATTTTCTCCCAGTCTGTGGCACGTCTTCTCCTTTTGTTCCTGTATTATTCTTTTAAAGTATAGTTTAATTCTCCCTCATCTTTTTTCTTTTGTTTTTTTTCTTAAACATTGTTGGCTAGTCTTTCACATATACTTTTTCAGATGATCGAAATGATCACCTACCCCTGCACAAATCTCATGGATTTTCTTTGGTGGTGATGGAGGGGTGGATTTTATTGAATTCATAGGTAAATTTGGAGATAATTGACTTCTTTAGAAATTTGATTCTTCCCATTCAGAAACACTGTATGTTCCAATATATTCAGTTCTTTTTTTATGTATCTTAGTAAACATTTAGTTTTCTTCCATTTTGGTTTTACACATTTCTGTTAGGCCTATTCTTAGCTATTTTTGTATGAATGACATCTTATTTTCTCTCATTATATTTTCCAATTGTTTATGATAGTATTTAGGAAAGCTAATAATTTTGGTTTACTTCTCTTATATCTAGATAACTTAGTGAATTGCTTTGTCCATTCTAAATGTTTTCAGTTTATTTTCTTGGGTCTTAGATATCTTTGGGCAGACAGTTATTTCATCTTCAAGCAAAGATATTTATGTTCATTCCTTTCCTATATTTATGCTCTTTTTCCTGTCTTTTGCAGAAAATAGAACCTCAGCTTATGGTAAATTATCAGCCATCAACTTTAATAGATATGCTTTGGCATTTCATTGTTAAGGTGGTGTTTGCTGTTGGTTTCTCACCCGCCTCATAAATTTAAAAAAAAATGTGTTTATGGTCAAACCATTTTAGAAATTAATTCTTTTAGCAAATGTATATTAAGCATCTAGTACATGTCAGGCACTGTACTGTGTAAACTGTACAGTGTTTACTGTAGTGTACACTGTTTACTGTAGTAAACCAGTCACGAGCAAAACAGAATCCTTGCCTCATGGACTTACATTCCGGAGGGAGGTAGGCAGTGTGTAGTAATACACACTGATGAGTAATATTGTGGAGAAAAATAAAATGTGGCGAGGTATATAAGGACCATCCACCGAAAGAACAAAAAGATATCCAAAACCCAACTACCTTAAAACAGTCAATTTTTCCTTTCATATTATGCATTTTTTTAGGACTCATGAAACTTGAGGACATTTGATGGCAGGCAAGAAGGACAGTTTGGGGAGGAAGGGATTGATGGTGGTAGGCTGGGAGAAGAAAGTTGTGAGAGAAGCTCTGGAGATGTTAGGGAGTGAGGTTGGACTTGCTGTAAGAGGAGGTGACATTTGGTTTTACCTGCGAGCCTGTGGCTGCTGTCTCTAGAAGCCCTTAATGCTTGTTGTTGAAGCAGTAATTACAGGACAACATGATTCAGTCTGCTGTTTGGATTTTTGGCTCACACCATTTTGGGGGGCCCTCTACACCTCATCATTGCCCAATTTAAAGGCTAGCTCTCCCTTTAGGAGCAACTAAATTTGGTCTTTTCCTTTCGTTATCTCCTTTAGATCTGAGTTCCCAAGTTGCTCTTGTTTTGAAGGGACCCCTCTTGTAAGGACCTATGTGTAGAGGCAGTGGAGCTGCTGTGAGCTGTTTGAGTTGCCAGAATTCATCTTTGGTGTGTGTGTCTTCCCTCCTTCCTTTAAGAGCATTTGTAGCCACATTCCCTTCTCCCTGTTCCCCTGTGCTAACTCTAGGACACAGGCTGCTTTAGGGGTTACTGGGAGTCAGAATGTGACATGCTAGAGTTAGGTGGTTGCTTGTAGCCCCTATTGGTAAGTAATTTCATTTTCTGTGGCTGAAAAGAACAAGGCTGACTGCATAGGGTAGGTAGTGAATCTCCTGGGAGGTGGAAGCATCTGTGGGGGCAGCAAGGCAAGAAGGTGCGCAAGTCATGAAACCCCCTCCAAGGTAAGAACCTAGTCTTTGTGGTCTGCTGCACTATCCTGACTGTAGAAGCAGAGAAAGTAGCCAGCAGACACCATCTCGAGTGCTCTGGGGCCTCATGGATTCAGATTCCGAGGCTCTGGTTTCCAGCGTGGGGTGCACAGTTTTGAAAGAGCTGCCCACCAATCTAAATTGAGGGAGGGGTCCCATGTGGCCTGGAGGCAGTATGGTAAAGATGGATTGAATGGTGATTTGGAGAGTTGGAGAGTTTGAGAAGCTGCTCTCCAGAGATGGGGCAGCACCAAGTTATGATGAAGTTCAGGGATTAGCCATGTTTCTGGAGAAGTTTGTGAGCCCAGTGTGGGAGACAGCTTGGTATGTGAATGGAGCCCACGTTTGTTGTTGGACAGATCTGGGTTGAAGTCCCAACTCTACCACTTTTTGGCTGTGTAATCTCTGGCAAAGTAATTAATCTTCTTTTTTTTTTTTTTTTGAGACAGGATCTTGCTCTGTCACCCAGGTTGGAGTGCAGTGGTGTGATCACAGCTCACTGAATTCCTGGGCTCAAGTGATCTTCCTGCCTCAGCTTCTTGAGTAATTGGGACAACAAGGCGTGCTGGCTAATTTTTTTATTTTTAGTTTTTGTAGAGACAAGATCTTACTATGTTGCCCAGGCTGGTTTTAGTCCTCCTGCCTTGGTCTCCCAAAGCTCTGGGCTTATGGGCATGAGCCACTGTGCTTGGCCCAATTAATCTTTTGAGCCTTAGTTGTATCACTTGAAAAATAGGAGCAATAATTCTTATTTCACATATGTGTTGTAATGATTCAATGAAATACAAGATTTAAAATTTCCCCCTGAGAGCCTGGTGCACAGGGGCTAATCTACAAGTATTATTTGCCTTCACTCTTGGGAAGATGGAGATGGCCCCATGGCAAGTCAGAGAGGGGCATACCTAGTGAAGAAGACGGCCTTGGTGGGTGTGATGGAGTTCAGAAGACTGGGGGATGGATCTGTGCCCAGGGACAGGGCACTCCCAACCTGTCTCTGAAAACAGGTGGTTCAGAGAAGAGGGCCAGAACAGACAGGCTGCAGGGTTCTTTCAACAGAGCCAGCTTTCTGATAAGGCAGAAAGGTAAAAAAAAGAAATTTGCAAAATACTGGGGATGTTTCTATGTGCTCCTTTGACGTCATGGGTGATGTTGAGGAAGATCAAAGAGAAGATAGGTGCGGGGAACAAATGGGGGCTGTGTGTGTGCACTTTGGATGTGTGGAGACAGGGTGAGTGGCAGCTGTCTGATGTGACCGGGGCATAGAAAATAAAGTGATAGAATTAGGGAGTATGCATGAGGGTAGGAGGTGCCAGAGGGGCAGATCTGTGAAGCCAGGAACATAGGGGTTGATGCAGTTACCAGGGAGAGAGTACCTGGATGCCAGTCTACAAGTTTGGGATAGCAGTTCGGGGCCCCAGAGGTGTGCATATGGGAGAATGGTAGGGTTCCCCATTTGAAAGTGGGAACACTGGCTGAGAGCTGGCCCTTGGCTGGGGTACTAGGTGCTATTCTTGCTAGAGGAGACTTTCCGTGGGGGCTCAGAGTTGAAAACCCAGGCAGGTTTATCCCTTCCCTGCAGCTCAGGCTGCCCTCTTCTGCTTCTCATTCAGAGCTTGAGCAGAAACCTGTTGTTTCAGGAGCCAGTGACCTTTGAGGATGTGGCGGTGTACTTCACCCAGAATCAATGGGCTAGTCTGGACTCTGCACAGAGGGCCCTGTACAGGGAGGTGATGCTGGAGAATTACGCAAATGTGGCTTCCCTGGGTAAGGTCTCTCTGTGGTAGTTTAATGTCTTCCTCAGATGTTTTGCGGATTCTAGTAACCCTTAGATTTGATGCCTCCAGAAGAGAGTCCTGCAGTCACCAGCCTGGGGAGATACTGGATAGGGAAATCCCTGGTTCCCTTTGGTTTTGAACCTGGACTTCCATGTACCCCAGGGAAGGGTGTGGTTTTGGGTCCTGAGGGAAAGGACTCTTACTGGCCTTCTAGGTGAGCCCTTCCAGTTTTCTGGGGATGTTGGCCCACCCCTTTGGGGAGGGGTCTTCCAGGGGAGCAGTACGTATATTGTTCCTGAGGGAGTTTCCCTCTTCTAAGTCAGGGGCAGATTGCAAGGTTTCTTTCTGAGGAGAATTCTATCTTCCGGGCTTCATTGTGGAGCATAGTTTGGACACTTTCCTTAGAACACCCTTGGTCTCCTGGGTGTTCTGTTTTTCTCTCAACTAGCCCAATGGAGGGTGGGCTGAGAGAGGTCTCAGGAATAGCCCTGGATGTCTCCCTTCAATTTGTCTGTCTTTTTTTCTTGCTGAATTAGCATTTCCGTTTCTCAAACCTGTTCTGATCTCCCAGCTGGAGAAAGGGGAAGCACCATGGGGCCCAGATCCCTGGGACACAGAGATTCTGAGAGGCATCAGTCCAGGTGAGTAAAAGAATCCAGCCATTGTGTTTCTTCTTTGGTATTCCTGGTTACTATGTAAGAAGTATTTCTTCTGCTGTAGGGAACAAAACTCCCTGGCATTTACAAGGCATTCCTACCTCGATCCTGGAAAGACCACTTATAGGAGTGCGTGTCCCCACGCTGTCTGCACATTGATGTCGCTGTCCTCCTAAGCAGAAAACTGTGACTCAGTAGCTCCTAAACCACTTCTTTTCTCACTTACCAGTGGAAAATTTTAATTTTGTGTCATTTTTCATTGCAAAGAAACGGGGTTTCAGCCAACTTTAAGGAAAATGTGATTCTATGAGTTGAACTGATTTATTTGTGCTATAGCTATGAATTACTGTTAGGCCTTCAGCAATGAAAAGAGTGACTTTAATTTGCCCTTTTGGTATCTAAGTCACTGAAATGTTCCATTTGCCATAGTCTTTATGTCTTTATTGTATTTGTCATAGATGGGACTGTAGAAGAAAAGGCTAGGAATATTCTCCCACCGTAGTCCCAACACACACACACACACACACACACACACACACACACGAAAAAGAGAGCACCTAAAATTAACCTGAGCTGGCTTTCCAGTCCTGGAAGATTTCGATTACTTGGATTTCCTTTTCTTTTGGAAGAAAGTTTCCAAGCCTTACTTCTCACACACACTGATTTTGTGTGTAGTGGTTCCTTTAGCAGTGGTACCACAGTGACCTACAGCTCTCTGGTCCAACTTCTATTCCAGCTGACTGTCTGAAAAATCATTTTTTAATCACAGCATATTATGTGGAATGTTTAAAAATAGAATTATTAGGATAGTATTTTGAATTTGGGGTGGTTTCCTGGGTCACAGGCATTGGGATCCATTTTTTTTGTTTTGTGTTTCTCAGCTTGTGAGACCTCCTACAATGCTAGAGCTGTTCCTCTACTCTTCCCAGTCTTTTATCTCTTTTGCCTCTTCTGGGTCTTGTCTCTTTCTCTTTTAAATTTTTTCTACTTCTTGCTGTTCTTTCTTACCTCACTCTTTCTTTCTTCCTCCTCCCTCGTTTCCTTCTCATTCTTGAGGTTCTCCTTCTTCCCGTCTCACCTACCTTAGTTCATTTCCTAGCCTTCCTTACAGGGGCACTCCTGGCTGTCTTCCTTGGTCTATTTCTGTGTCTTCAGTTTTCCAGTTGTATCTCACTATTTTTCTTTGTTTCTCTTATCCTCCTTTATGGATGTTTATAGCCATTCCATGGGTATATTTTTAAAAATTACATTCTACAACAGAAAATTAGGACCACTAAATTCTGTTTTCCTTTTAGTTCAGTAACTAGGAACATTTGTGGTTTCTCTGGTCAGGTGGTGCTTCCTGGATCGTGAATGAAGAGCCAATTATAAAGCAGGAAGCCTCTGAAGAAACAGAGTTGCACAGAATGCCAGTAGGAGGACTTTGCAGAAAGGGTTCTCAGCACTTTGATTTGAAAAGCAAGGCAGTGAGGCAGACTTTTAGTCTAAATCCAAATCTGATACTTCGAGGTGGAATGAAGTTCTATGAATGTAAAGAATGTGGGAAGATCTTCAGATATAACTCAAAGCTTATTCGGCACCAGATGAGTCATACTGGAGAAAAGCCCTTTAAATGTAAGGAATGTGGCAAAGCTTTCAAGTCCAGCTACGACTGTATCGTACATGAGAAAAACCACATCGGAGAAGGGCCTTATGAATGTAAGGAGTGTGGCAAAGGTTTGAGTTCCAACACAGCGTTGACTCAGCATCAGAGGATCCACACTGGAGAGAAACCGTATGAATGTAAGGAGTGTGGAAAGGCTTTCCGTAGGAGTGCGGCATACCTTCAGCATCAGAGATTACACACAGGGGAGAAACTCTATAAATGTAAGGAATGTTGGAAGGCTTTTGGTTGTAGGTCACTTTTTATCGTCCATCAGAGAATACATACTGGAGAGAAACCCTACCAATGTAAGGAGTGTGGCAAAGCCTTCACTCAGAAAATAGCCTCCATACAGCACCAGAGAGTCCACACTGGGGAGAAGCCTTATGAATGTAAGGTGTGTGGGAAAGCCTTCAAATGGTATGGAAGTTTTGTTCAGCATCAGAAATTGCACCCTGTGGAGAAGAAGCCTGTCAAGGTTCTTGGGCCATCTCTGGTCAGTCCCCAATGCCCCTCTTCAGCCTTATCTCCTGTTCTTCTCCAGGGGTCATGCTCCGTTCCAGCCATGGCTGTGCCTTCACTGACCTTTCCACATGCTGTGCTCATTCCTACCTCTGGGCCTTTGTTCATGCTGCTGCCTACATCTGGAATACCTTCTTCACCTGCCCAAATAGTACATGTCTTCCAGGGTTATACTCCCACTGTGAAGCCTGCCCCGATTATTCTGACCCCTTCTCACCCCTCATGAGCTTTATCTTGGCACTCCCATGTCTCCTACCCTACAAATCTTCAACCTAATTTGAGTTTCATTTGTGTTTTTCCCCCACCTTAAATTTGTTACAACTCTTTCGGCATAAACTTCATTGTAATCTATATATATTTAAAGATTGCGTTTATATAATATATTCCCTTCTTCTCAGAAAATGGAAATACTTAACCTTTGCATCCGTTTCAGGCTTGAGCAACAGTGGCTGTATCTGCATCATAGGGTTGCTGGTGTTAGAAGTGCTGAGAGGACACTTTAATGTGTTAGGGAATTTTGGGAAAGAGGATACCCCTGGACTAGGACATTGTGATTAGAGAGAAGCAGCCTGGGAGAAACAGCAAGACCTGTGGGAGTAGAGAATTGGAATAAGTTTCCAACAGTGGACTTTAGAAATTAATGCAGATTGTTTAGTGAGCCAATGGCTAGGTGGTATGTTAATACAGTTGAAGTTGTGTTGCCCTTGGCATGGATCATTGAGGATCCCATACATCTATGCAAAAGATAATGTGAAATAAACAGTAAAAGAAAAAAGTGTGTTGATAGCAATCATTTACGTGACTGATAGCAATCACATTCAGTCACGTCTTTAAACATGAAAGGGTTTTTTTCTTGAGTTTTGTTCTTGATATCTAGATGGTTCCTTTAACTTTTGTTTCCTAAGTAAATACACACAAAGGCATTCATCTTTGTGGCATCTGTTGTGTACATTTTTCTTCGTGGGCATTCTGGTTTTCTTTTTGGGAGCACTGGCTTTTGTATTTCCTCCAGATAGCCTGAATTGTAAACATGAATTTGGTGAATTACTAAACAAAGAAAAGCTATGTTGTAAAGCCAACTTGGGGGAAATATGAATAAGCCTCCTAACTGATTTTTAGAAATAAAGTGGGACAGTGGTTAGGCTTATGTGGTGGGTTAGCGAAGTGGAATTTTTGGGTTGCTCTTGGTATTGGCTTTTACAACTGTGCAAAAGATGATGTGAAGGAGTTACTAGAAAAAACTTGAACTATGCATTTATTAGCACTAATATAAATGTAAGTCCTAAACATTGATGGAAGGGTCCGTACATTTTTTTTCTCCTGTGCTGCTGTTGCCAGCTAGATGTTTCTCTATAGCAATTAATAAAAAAACCTTTACATTCTTGGTTTTTAAATTTTACTATATGTCTGAGTTACCTGGTGTGCTTATAAAACAGTAGTTTTCTGGCCTAACTTTCAGAAATTCTGATTTTGGATATCTGTGGCCAGATCTTTAGTGTGGACCATACTTTGAGAGATACGCTTTAAACAGAAAAGGCCTGTGGGCTGTTGGGAAGCATACGCTGATAAAGGGTTTGGGAGGGACCATGGATCTTTAGGAGAGAGACCTCTAAAAGTAGTTTGGGTGGTATCAATTTAGAAAAGGAGAGAAAAGCAAGTGCAATATGGCATGTCAGGAAAGAGCAAAGGGGCAGAGATCTGATGTGACCTGTGAAGAGTTCTTCAGGTGTCTCCACTGTTAGAGGTTTGTAGGGGTTGACGTTGGCTACCTGTTGCTTGTTGGCTGAAATAATGAAGAATTTTTTTTCATTATAAAGTTAGTACACTTCAAAATAACTATTGGGTTAAAGAGTACAAAATAGATGCTAGAGATGATTTAGAACTGAACAACAGTAAGAATAGGACATAACAGAGTCTCTGGGGTGTGGCAAAAGGTGGTATTCAGAGGAATATTTACAATCTTGGATGCATTCTTCAATAAGAGTTTAAAAGCTTAATATCGGAAGCTGGAGGTGGTGCTTGGTGGTGGGAAACAAAATAAAAATTAACCAAAAATTAAACAAAGCAAAGAAACAAACCCCCAAATCCTAAAATAAACTTAGCAGAAATAAGATATCCAGTAGGGCTTTTGGGAAAGATGCTGGTTGAATAGTGGATTAGCCTTCACGTCCTCCTGAAACCCCACTAAAACAGGTAAAGGGGTTAAAGATGAAAAGGAATAAACTCACAAGGTCAGCAAAAGTAAGATGATAATATTTTGGAAGCTAGGAAGCAGGTGAAAGAGTTCAAACTTTTAGCAGACCTGAGAACGATGAATCCTAAACTATATTGGAGGACACTGAGCAGCCATCCTATATGGCAGCATTCCCAAAAAGGCTTAATAATTGTGGATTCAGGTATCTCTGGGAAGTAGGGGATGCTAGAGGGACTAAGAACAGGAGACTTGGCCAAAAGTCTTTAGAAACCACTTAGATTCTCAAGTTGCTTCCTCTGTCTCCATTCTCTGGAGCAGTAAAATAGAAATTTTGGAGGTTTTGGGGTACCACTCTGAAGCTTAGGTCCTTCTCCCTCACCCTCTAATCTTCTACCCCTGCATCTATCCAGAACACTGCCAACTAGACTTAGGCGCCTTCTAGGCTGGAAATTAGAAGAACTTGCTTTGGGGAATCTGATCAAGTCAAAAGAAAAGGCCAATGATACTAAAATCTCAGATTCACCCAATGAAATGGTTTTACTGAGAAGTTCCAGCTGTGCACACAGAGCTTCCAGGCAGCTTTTAAATGCTTCTTTCTTAGATATGAACAAATAGCTGAGGATATGAAAGAGGCTGAAGCAAGCAAAAAAAAGAAAAAAAAAACCCACTTGAAAGAAACAGTATGCAAGAAGAAGAAAACTTAATATCCTAGAATTAGTGAAGATATTTGCATCCCTGAAATGATAGCATGCTATAAAAAAGGAAAATTCATAGGAGAAAAAGAACTCTAGAAAACTAGAAGTTCATATCAGAAATGAGACACTCAGTATAAGGATTGGAAAACAAAGTCAAGGGAATCACCCAGAAAGTATAATTTTGAGTTGAAAGCAAAAGGAGGTCTAGTATATGTGGTCTGACAGCTGAATAGGCATTAAAAAGAGAGAAATGTAGAAATTGGAGAGGAGGAAATCATCAAAGTAACTGTTCAAGGAGATTTCCCAGAATTGAAGGCAAGGGCTCCATGCCTTCATCAGCACGTGTTAAGAGGAAGCCCCAGGTGCTTGGAGAAAAGCTACCTCTCCTCAGGCCTCTACAGGCAGGGATGAAGAGGGGAGCTCCAAACCATGCCCTTTCACGTTATCCTCCAGTCAGCCTTCCCACCATTGAGACTGCGAGAACAATCTCCACATGCCCTTTTGTTCATCTCAGGCACCACAAGGAGCCCTGAACTCCCAGGATAACCCCCATCTCCTGCCAATTTAATCCCCTGCATCTCTCTACATTCTCCTTTCTGTCTTCATCTGTTACCTCTCTCCAATTCCTGGCAACTTTTCATTTCAGCTCTCTGCCACTGACAATCCATTGCTAACAAAATTCCCTGTATCCTCAACATTGTGATCATTGCCCTTCTTCCTCTAATCAAAACCTGCCCATCCCTTGAAGATACTGCTTCCCCAGAACTCTCTGAAATTGTGGTTATTTTTCTTCACACTCCTAAGTATCAGATGTCTTGGATCCTCTTTGTTTCTCTTTGCCAGTTCTTGACCATTCTTTCCTTTCCTGAAAGCCTCCGCCTTGGAATCTTCATACCATCAGGCTGCCCTGGCTAACCTGTGGGTCACACCCCCTCATTCCTTGAAGGTTTCCCCTCAGGCCTACTGTCAATCTCTTCATTTCCCTTACCTTTTTTTTTTTTTTAAAACAACTCCATGTTTTGCTTTTTTGATATTATATGATAAACATTGGCTTATGTTTATACATGGAATAATAGTTTAATTGATGCCTAATATAACTACTTAAGAGAATCATGTTTTTAATCATTTCTCTGTTTTGACATTGTTTATTGATATCCTAATGTCAGTATCTTCTTTTTCAGTGAATTATAACAAAAAGGGAAATGATTTTAACACAAGACACTTTTAAGACTTATAATACCTATAACACACATAACTGTAATAAATTTCCCCAAAGTGAGAACCATCTATAATCTTACCAACAGTACAAATATTCCAGGTTTATCATGACACTGGCTTGAGTAATAATCTTTAAAAATTTTTTTTCTGTCTTATAAGATATACTTCAAAATTGCTGCAGTTTGCATCTCTTTCACTATAACTAAATATGAGCTTTGCTCCTGTTCTTGTTTTTTTTGCTATCCTTTTTTGTTAAATCTGAAATAAAATATAAAACCAGATTTGGCAACATTTTTATCGACAGTTAAAATAGGTTAAAACCTATACCATCTGAAAAGATTGTTCAAATTTATAAGAAAAAGATAAAGCTCCCCCTTATCTTTCTTGAGATATATTTAAAATAAAATTGTATATATTCAACGTAACACTTCTGTCTTACTTCTTGGTGATTTCAATAGATGATCTGTCCAATATCTCACTCTCTTTTTTTTTTTTTTTTCAGAGTCTCACTGTGTTGCTCTTGGTAGAGTGCAATGATGTCATCGTAGCTCACTGAGCCTCAAACTCCTGGGCTCAAGCCATCCTTCTGCCTCAGCCTCCTGAGTAGCTGGGACTACAGACATGCACCACCATGCCCGGCTAATTTTTTCTATGTATTTTTTTTTAGTTGTCCGATTAATTTCTTTCCATTTTTAGTAGAGACGGGGTCTCGCTCTTGCTCAGGCTGGTTTTGAACTCCTGAGCTCAAACAATCCACCAGCCTCGGCCTCCCAGAGAGCTAGGATTACAGGCGTGAGCCACCACGCCCAGCCTCTCGCTTTCTTATTTCATTTTTGGTCTTTCATATTACCTCAGCCACTCCTTTGATCATATCCTAGATCTCGTTATTACCAAACACTTCACCACCCTGTGATGCCACCACTTTAAATATCTTGCTCTATCACCCGTCTTTCCAATTTATTCCGTTTAGAGTCCTGATGCTAAAAGTCCTTCACTTCCATTGTTCCTCCTTTTTTGCTTCCCGTGTGCTTGTCCTACGCCCCTGTCACTCCCATCCTTCCTTCTTCACCCAGCTTGAATTCCATGGTCAGTTCTTACAGTGCTTCCTGCGCAGTCTCCCTTGACTCCCTTGCTCTTTTGCTTTGTCATGCTCACTTGACAAAACCCCATCTCTGACTACATTCAATTCTTCGCCTTCTC